AAAGTCCGCGAGAATGCGGCCACTGCGCCGCAGCTAATCCATAAAGAAACCGCGATTGTTCTTCAAGCATTCGTCTTTAATTTCGCCAATTTTCTTCCAAATTTCTGCAAGCGGGCGGCAAAAAATCAACGAACTATTTTTCCGGTGCGCGCTTGCTCAAAATTCGCATGGCCGCCTGCCCCCGGCGATTATCTGAGTAGCTACCGCCTTAAGTGACGTGAACCCTTTCACGGAGAGGGTCCCCGGCTTCTATACGCCGATGCAGGTGAGCCGTATCCACTGACGTGGGGAGCTGGAGTCGCAATCCGCGACAATCAGCGTTGAATGCTGCTTCGAATGACAGGCCACTTCGACTCCTGACTATTCCCTCGTCAGTTATCTCTATCATGCTCCCATTTGAAGCCGAATATAGCTAAAATAATTAAACACAATGATAAATGGGAACATGGGAGTGTGATTCAGTATGGCTATGAACTGTGTAAGGAATAAGGTATACTTCTCTCTTGATTGCTACATCTTGGATATTGGACTCGACTTGGATAGCTGCCAGATGTCTACAGATTCACCGTGCGCGGTCTCAAATGCATAGACGCGTAGCTTTTGCGAGTTGTTGCAAAAGCATAAAGTTTGACCTGAGCAAAGCGAGCTTACGACCGTTATGAGCAATAAGCGGGCACAAACCCGGCGCGTTTATTTACCGTTTGAAGTCCTAAGTCTCATGCGCTCTGCGGCTAATAAACCCGCGTTTGCGCTCAAAGATGATGCGCTCATGCAGCAGCTTATATGTCTTAGGCCAAAGGCCATGTTTCCGTAGGAAATACGAACTGATCCGATGCCAGAAATACCAAACAGTAACAGATTTCGAAATCAATCACATCAAACTTCGGGGGTGACTGTTCGACAGCGTTCATCAGAAGTTTTTAGTCACTTCACACGCATAATGGACTTTTCGACATCCGCGTGTCCCTTACGGTTAGGATCGGCATCTTCTATTTGGACATATATAATCTTAACTCTATTTCGTAATGTAGATCCGTAGGAGGCGAATTGGAGAGGTAGTACTTCCTCAGCAGCCTGTATATATGTAAATTTACTGCAAATTTGTTTCAGAGATGTACTTGGTTTTGATCCTTCAAGTATAAGCAAAATCTAACATTTATTTTTTTTGTCAGTTCAAAAGCTGGCACTGACTGCTAATTTAATTTTTTAAAATATGTAATTGGTTTGGTTGTAATCAAAAACTTTCGCTTGTAAGGTTACATACAGCTACACTATGTTTTCTGCTGTTCGCACTTCGCTTGACGCTTTGACCTCCTGCTGCATCACTTTGGAGTACTCTACCACGGGTGTTGAGGACGGGGTTGCGATTTCGTTCTCTACACTCGTATTATCTTCCGACATTACAGTCTCCTGCAGTCTCAGTGTACGAGGTGCGCTGTGCTGGAATCCTTAACTTTTGCGCAAATTTGGTCCTTAATCGATCCACTTACCGGTACTTTTCCCACAAAAGGAGCAAAGAATGACTTCATTGATTCGCTGTAACTTCGTGTCTTTCCTTTCGTTTTCGGCTAAACATATATTTTTGCGCAAGTCTCATTGCTCAAGTGCGCAACAGTGCAATGATTAGCTAAAGGATGCAGTAAGCATGAGCATCAAGTTTATGTTTTCAATTTTTCGACGAAAATGTTGAGATTGTTGTATACCTCAAAGCAACCCTGACAAGCTATTCTAACAGAATTGGGTCAACGTCAAGTGAACCAAACAACATGCGTCCTGTGTGGTCGTTAATGATGATTCTTGATTCAAGTCTTTTGTGGATTTTTAGGTATATTTCTACAGAACTGCCTTCAGTTCTGATTTGCAGTTGGAGCGAATCCGATCTCTCTTGTTACTGTATTTACCGTAGGAACCTGAGGGTTCTATGCCGTCAAGAGTCGCATTTAGCCTCAAAAAAAACCAAACAAGGCCAATCGAAGTCATTGATTCTAAATTTGACATTTGCACATCACAGTCCTCATTCTTTCATGAGTTATTCAGGTAAGCCGTAGAAAGTGCTTTTCCAATGTTTTCATAATCATGGTTACACTATTAAAAAGCCCAGAAACTTGTGAAAAGTTGGTAATGAAATCATCTGCAGAAACCCTGCTACACAATTTTCCAGATTTCTTTATATTTTCGTTTATCAAACGAACTATTCTACAGTGGCGCTGCTGAAAGTTCCTAATGTAATCCTTTACTAGCGTTCCGTAACTCACTCCAAACTTCAAATCTAATAAGGAAGGCTACCTAACTTAGTAGGCTTGGCAATGCACATATATTCTGAATCAGCTTCCAACGCTGATTCTAAATATGCCATTCCTAGCTACAGCGCACCATTCCGAAGCAGTTATGGGTTTTTCTGCGCAAAATTAGCCTGCTACTGAACGTGAAAGGACTGCCTGTAGATAAAAATCTGCAAGAAAAAGGTGTTGAGATATTGAAGTAACACAAATCCAATGTTTTCTTACTGAAAATAAGCTTAACCCAAGTGAACTATCACTTAGATGATGATGCCATGATGCTAGTGAGTCGATGAATTTGCCGATTTTGAGCAGGGAAAAGCCCATAACCCGCTTCGGAATGTGCGCGGCAATTAGAATAGCATATTTGGAATCAGCGTTTAAAGCCATCTATAATATACAGGGTGTCTCAAAAGTATGTATACAGTATGATATGTATACATAGTATAGTGTATGTATGTTTGATCGTTGATATCTCTCTTACGATGAAGTCTTATGCCTAGCTCTAGACACCATTTTATAGAGCTGGCTTTAACTTAGATTTCTAGTATGAAACGAACCCCGATCGCTGTAGGATTACGATAAAAACTTCAAGAAGGGTTTGAGCTATGGGCACTATTTCGCCTCAGAAAGCCTAGAAAACCTGATAATCCTCACTCTAGGCTAAGTAGAGCCGCTGAAACTAAATAAAAACCTTGCACTTCACCGCATTGCTTCCTTTATAAGTTACGCCAGGTAAACCGCAATAGCTGTTTTTACAGTGTTCTCCGAAATCGTAATTACACCACTTGAAAAGCCCTACAAATCCGTAAAAAGTGAAGTAATAAAATCAGCGCGGACGAAAGCGCCGGTATAAGATTTCTCAGATTTTTCTGAAACTTTTTTGAAGCGCGTTAAAACACAAAGACGCTGTAAAGAGTTCTTACCGCAATCCTACAGTAATGAAAAGAGATCGGTGATCCATTCTATGCTGTAAATCTAAGTTGAAGCCAGTCCTACAAAATGACACGCAAAGGTAGGCAACAATGCTTTTGAGAAGAGAGATATTAACGATCAAACAGTGTATACATGTTGGATAGCGCGGATCACCGATTTACCGACCATTACTGGCGGGAAAAGAAAGGCCGATTAGACCTCTCAGCAGGATATAAATACCTGTGGATAGTGGGGACCAACCAGAGCGTGAAGAGAGCGCTCCAGGGAGTTTAAAAGAACCGTCGGAGAGAGGCGGACCTCCCCCTTAAGGGCCGGGCATACTTCACGCGATTTCAGTCGCGACGCGATTTGGCAATTCGCCAGAACTCTTCAGATGCAACACTAGCAAACTGCACATGCATGGTGTTTATGACTTAAGTGGGTTGATAAAATACGCCATCTTCTGTAAATTCAAATTATGCTTACAATAAATTACGGACAGTTGGAATATTGCCAAATCGCGTCGCGACTGAAATCGCGTGAAGTATGCCCGGCCCCTTAGATAGAGATAGCCTAGAGACGCCGCTGAAAGGGCGACTTGTTGTACATAGTGTTCTGTTCTTGTTGTTGTTAATTTTGTGCCATAGGTATAAACTCTTGTACTCAAGCCCGTGTTTCTTCATCGATCAGGTTCTACCGGGACTTACCACTAGACCATCCCCCGTTACATACATACTTTTGGGACACCCTGTAGATATGTCCCTTGCCAAAAGGCCGAGCTAAGTTAGGTAGCTTCCCTTGTAAGTTGAAGCAAGCCCTACAGAATGGTACCCAAAAATGTGCAAAAATTGAAACCGGAAGGTTACCAACAATTGAACAGTGTGCACATTTTTTTGGAACGCCTTGAATATTTTGAAGGCATGACCGACAAAATGTACCCCATGTCAGATCCTTGTGCTGTCAGACAATAACCCTTCGAATACACCGTAGCCTCTCTCTATCTCACATTAATTCATGCGGGAATTGTAACAATATGCTATGATGACTGCTCAATAGGGGGAAAGGAATGCTACTACAACGCTATAAGACTCGAGCAACCACTAGTTTGCCTGGATGCTGCATTTGAGACGTCTGTGAGCGAGAGACATTGAAAAAACGCAGATGGAAGTTTAAGAAAATGACCTGACACATGTTGTAAACCTCACACTTTTCAGAGCACACATATGCAAATTACAATTCTGAAATATGGTTCAGTTATGTCATAATGGAACATTAAAACTCAGTGCTATATGGACCAACGGCAAGTTTACACATACAGTCAGGTACAACCCAGTTTAAGTCAAAGTTAGGCTTACGCGGTCCGTTACGCAACGGTTCGCGCCTTATCGCAATGACTGTATATCATATCATGCTGAGAACCTAAGTCTGCCCTTCCCATCTTCCTCTGCCTTTGTTTGGCAAAATGCAGAGCCGCAAGGCCTCCAGTGATGCGAAGGTTTACTCCTAGTTACAACGGACTGTATCTTCTTCATACAGTGCTATACAGTGTAAGCTAATCCTTATCATTAAGCTTACCACAGAATGCGCTACTACGGGAACCAGCGAGTCAATCGAAGCATCCAATCCACATTCGCGCTGAAAGTGTGGAAACTATATTTGTCTGATATGAAGCAGGTCCGATGGCTTTAGCAGTCAGCCAATACTAAGATTAATTTAACAAACATTCGGCTAACATTAGAAATCTTCCAAACATCTCATCATCACATGCAGAAAAAAACCTTAGAAGTTGAAGAGACTCCCGTTAGGACTTAGAACTATTTACTCATGTTTGCTGTCAGATTGAGGTAGAATCACCACTGACTGGAATGTGCTAAAACAAATGAGGCAAGTTTCTGAAAGCTACGCAGATCAAAACTTGCGTAAATCCATCAAGGCCTCTGCCAGAGTTCACGCGATTTCATCGCCGCGATTCTCCCAACAGACAAAGGGGCACGAGTCTATTGCATGCCGATCATCTTGCATTTCAGTTGTGATAGTTCTCCAACACGACCAATCGTGACTAACTGTCACAACTGAAATGCAAGATGATCGGAATGCAATGGACTCGTAACTGTTTATCTTGCTGGGGTAATCGCGGCGGTGAAATCGCGTGAACTCTACCCGAAGCCTAATGGTGCAAGCGCAGTTGCTATGACAGTGCATATCTCTTTTCTGTCAATTGTGGAATTTTCGGATAGCATCCAACACCCCGCGAGGGTCTTTGGCGTTGCCATCTTTCTTGTGACAGAAGGTTGACCAAAACATCGAATTTTTTGTCTGAAAAACAAAGCTAGCGATGTGTGCCCGAGGGATTTATAACCTTGATTTTCTCAACCTGTCTATGTGTCCCTTAATTCTGGGGCATCGGCCTTGCCGTCTTTCGTACATATTCCTCCTTCATTAATGGCGCGAACTCAGTTGCTATGGCGGTAAGTTATTCTTTTTTCTTTTTCTTTTCTAATTCAGAAGATCTTCCAAGATCTAAAGTCCGTCCTATCAAATGCGATGTCGGTGGCCCAAAGACAGGATTTTCTGGTTATAAAGCCAGAAAGAAATGAATGCAAGGATCGTGATTTGTCAAGTTCTTTGTAAGATTGGGAGGATTTTTACTCAAAGTTGCCTGAGGTGATTATTGTCTTTATGGCGACTATCAAACCGAAATAAATGTATTATCTCATTTTGCTATGCCTTTGTTCTTCTCAGGAAAGTTTTTTCTCCAAGAGCCAACGATCTTACCGGAAAAGTTTCGACGATGAGTAGCCGTTTACAATTGGTGAAATTCAGCACTGCTCGTCAGAGTTTTGAAATTAATCATAATGCAAGCGAAAAGGTGATACAGATAGAAGAAAACCTCTGCTACGCAGAGATGAAGCCGATGGTTGACAAGTGCAAAAAGAAACCCCAAATGATTAGGTAATCTTGGCAAATTGAACATTTACGCAACTGATTTTCTTCGGCGCCATTTTCGTAAAGTAATCAACTTTAGTTCAGTTTTTGGGCTAAAGTCCATGGCTTGCACATTTGCGTACCAAACACATCCACGACTTTGCAAAAAGTGGTGATACGGACATAATTTTGCGGGACAAAAGCCAGGTGGATCCGTTTGGCGCGCAATTTTGAGGGGTCCACTCAACGGATCCCTCGTGCTTTTGCACATCGGACTTTCATGCTGCTAGCATGCGCCGTGCAAAATTTGGGCTCAAGAGGTTGGCTGGGGTGGAGGACTATATGTCGCCGAATTTGGAAGAGTCCCGCGCGGACTTCCTGCAGGAACGCATGTCCGCGCATGTACAAGAATGCGTATTTGTCGCAAATGACCGCGGGGACCGCCCTTT